GAAGTATTTCTCGCCGCGGGGAAGATTGGAAAATTTTCCCCAAAAGGAATCAAATTATAAACGTTTCGAAGTCCTTTCAAGCCCCTCTGGGGCCTAGAAAGGGGGTCCGTCTTTGAAAATCGGGGTTCCGTTTACAATTTTGAAATTATTTCATTAAAATCAGAAAGTACGGAAAATTTTTACCTAATCTGATTCTAGAGAATCAAAAGCGGCCCATCCCTGTCCGAAAGATCGACCTTCGCAAATCGGAAGACTAGGATTCCTTAGGGTCGATCACATATTTAAACGCAATTTTTTCCAGGTCTACGTCAATTTAGTGACCTCGCAATTTATTGAGGGAGGCAGAAAGCTCTGTCCACTAATTTCAGAGGCCGATATTTCTGGCAGTTAACAACAAAGCATTTTATTTGTGGGTATGCAATAAAAATATCAGCGTTAAAATACGCACTTCATGCACGGCTCTTCTTGCTAAGAAATACGAAAGTAAGAAAAGTCACGTGATCGTGAATGAGCAAACGCCGGAAAATCAACGTCACTATGGTTTAACCGATTAAAAATACGACTGTCTTTGTGAAAATTAATCCACCTGTATGATTTTAAAACTTTTTTTTTACTTCATGTAGCAGGTGAATGAGTTCAGTTGAAGTTGCTTTTACAAGATATGCAAAAGTTTTTTTATCCAAAAGAATAATTTATGCTGAAAAACAGCAGAATTTAACCTGACTGCACATTTATTGGGGGCGTCAATTCGCCCCCCTCCCCTTTCATAATGTCAATTAATAGGAAATTAGACAAGACCTATAGAAAGGATACGACATGCAGCACTGCTTCCTCGTAAAAATTTCACATGAAGTAGTAAAGGATAGATCAAAAACTTTCCAATTCAATTTATATGTATGAGGAAAAAGCTTTTTCCATGCACATCAATTTGGACTATCTGTCATAAAAAAATCAAACTCCAGTCAAACCGAGCATCGAACTGAACTCGGTGTATTTTAAGATGGATTCTCCGTGTTTTCTTTTTTTTTTAACAAGTTCGCAGGCTACGTGAATGGGAAAGGGGAGAAAACTTCATTAAAATTAATGATGTGTTTACTTTCTAAACGGATACTAGACTGATTTCAATTTCTAGATTCGACTTATCTAGCTTTAACTTGGTTCGCGAACAAAAGGGTTGAACTGGCTGATTCAAATTTAGAGGGTAATTTATGGAGTTTTATTATATATTGTCAATGTCTTTTGCGTAAAAATTTACTAGAGAACCAGGAAGGGACGTTACTCAAGGATATCATAAAAAAGAGTTAAAATTTGCTTGAACAGGGAGAGGGGGTAACCAAACTTCAACAAGTTTCCTGAAATTGATCAAAAATGCTCTAAAAAAGATCAACTCCCCAACGAAATTCAAATGCGCGCGGCAACGTGCCTTACAGAGTTGTATACTTCTTGATAAGTCCACTGGTTCATTCTCACCAAAACTCAAACATCGAACAAGATTTAATACATAAAAGCCGCTTTTACAGCGCTCTTTGGCGCTCTGCGACACCTGGCTGCCAAAGTCCAGACATTCAAACAAAACTTAAAAACCAAAATTAGACGAAAGGCAATTTACCTGTGATGACGAGCATTTGCCTCCTGCCGAACGGGTGAAGAAACCACAACACTGCAAAGATCCCGCACTTAACCGCACTCGGAACCACGCACTTAACCACAATCGCGAACTGCGGAGGACCGCGGTCGAACGGGGCCTGGAACAGGAGAAACAACAGGGAGAATTAAGATCAGTGATAAGCGAAATCAGTGATAAGCAGAATATGTCACTATCACGATGGCCGAGATTCGCGGGGGATTCGCACTGGGATCGCGAATTCGGGGGAATCTGCGACCTGAGCGAAGCACATGGGATGGGTAGAGAATGGACACTGAGGTTGAAGAGCGGATGCCGATGACGGAGACGAAAACGGCGGGCTGCGGACGGCCAGGCGTAGGCGATGTGTTCAAGGGCTTCTGCTTCAAGTCGGAGCCAGCTTAAGTCTTCTGCCTGCCTACATTCACGGCCGAGACTGCCGCAACTCCCGGCCTATTGAGCTCCAAGTTTATCACATAAGACCCGCCAATGACTCACTGTGCGCTGGGCGCGTGGCTGTGCAACCACAGATGGAAAATTCGCTGAGTTGGAGTGGATTTTCAACTTAGAGGCAATGCGTTCTGGGTAAAATCGATGTAAAATTGAGGCACTGGATGCGAAAAGGGAACTTCTCGATTGCGGTGTTTCAGAATCAAAGTTGCTAATTGGACGTATTTCTATCAAACGGAACTATGTGCATTAAGACATCAGCCCTGAGACCCATGAGAATATATGCATTACAGGGCTCACGTCACAATGCACATAGTTCCGTTTGATAGAAAGACGTCCAATTAATCCCTTGGAGAGGAATTTGATGGGTATTTTTTCCAGAATTCTTTCCATAGGAAATTGTAGAATCATAAGGAATATTCAGTAAAATTTTTAGTGAAATGGATGCGTTCACATTCCTTGCAATCAGGCCCGCCACATCCCATCTCGGGCCCTGGTACCAGTTTTAAGGTCCGGGCCCCAAGCATGGAGGGGGGGGGTTCGAGGGGCATCCCCACAGAAATTTAATAATTTATAGGACTAATCGGACGCATTTTGAAGCTTCCATATAGAATTTTTCCATAAATTTCTGCGGAATAATTATGTTTTTTTTTCTACTTTCAGCACAAAATACTTGCGAATTGTTGCATTCAAAACATCTGGAAAATGTTTATTTTTATTTTTTTTTTGGGGGGGGGGCATATGATACTACTTTCAGTTCTAAGAGGGCCAGGCCCCCCTGGACTCCCCCTTCGTTTGTCTATGGCAAGAGGGAGTTGAGCCATGAGCCATTGAAGTCGAGGATGCCCAGACTGGAGACTCTTAGCATCTGACGACGGAAGAAAATGAAACGCAGTTACTAAAAATATCCCTCTGTATACTGAAAATCTTGAAAATAGATGAAAATTTTCCAAGAGGTATACTTCTTTGAAAATTTAAGAAGAATTCTACAGTGCCCCAACGTGTTTCTGAAAATCTATTCACCTTTTGCGAAATTTTTAGGGTAAATTTTTCACTTTTTCTTATGAAACAAGGGTTGCATGTGTATTCGTAGTGGTATTTCACGAGTAACACGGGCCCCCTCCGAAGCCCGGGTCCTGCTACCGGGGACCCAGTATCCCCCCCTTGTAGCGGGCCTGCCTTGAAGCACGCTGGGCTTGTCGATTTCCTTTGACATTTTTGCAGTGGTGAATGCATAGCTGAAGTGCGCTCCAGCTAGAATTGTATTTAGCAAATGGGTGGTTTTTCTAAGAGGAATAAAAATAAACGAGTGGTACGGAACATAACAAAAGAATATGAACTATGCAAAACGATAATCCGGATATCGGAACTCGGCAGTTTTGAAAACGCCTTCAAATGCGGCGTGATACCTTACGCATTCCGGAGAGTTCAAATAGTTGTATCATTGCGCCGTAACAATGTGACGGAAGATTTAAATGGAAATAGCCTCCATGCACGCTGGGCGTGTCATTTAAAATGTGAATGGACGCAAAACCCGACGGATGCACCCGAAAGAAAGCGTATGTTTATCTCTAATTGGAACGTTAGACATCGCTTTTATGCTTTATTTTTAATAAATGTTTTTAGAAAGCTATATACTAAGTTTTTCTAAAAATTTTCGTGAAGTTATCTAAATGATCTCAAATATAAGTATCAAAAAATTAGAAGCGATATTTTCGTTCGTTCTATTTTCTTTTAATGTGACAAAAAAAAAAAAAATTAAACATCAATCGAGTTTCTGAATCGTTACAATGAGGATATATATTTTCCCTTTAATTATGGTAAAAACTGGAGCAGAAAGTCAAGAATGACGACATGCAGTCTTACACCTACAGTCTTGTAGGCGCTAATACGCGGTTCACGCCAATTGATGGACTGCACTGCGTTCGGCGCAATGCGAGAAGTATTCATGCAGTCTTGTAGGCGCTAATATGGACTTGACACCGACTGCACTGTTTGGCGCAATGCGTGAAGTATTTCTAAAGTCTTGCAAGCGCTAATATACATTTAACGCCGGCCGTACTATGTTCGGCGCTATTATATATCGAATAACAGAGCTTATAAGGCCCATGTTGTGTTGCGACGCCCTTATGAGCATTCCAACGTTGCCTCGTTTCTCCCGATTGAGTATTTTTTCCGAGAAAAGTTAGGAAAGTTCTTTATACCCACGACCATAATTCAATCTTTTCTCTTCATTTATCATCAGAAGGTAAGGCATCGATAACTTGTCAACAAACTAACCTAAACTAGCGTCAACATAAAAATGCGTTTATTTTCCAACTGTTTCCTGTTTTGCCAAACTTCTACCTCAAATTAACTTCATTTTAAACTCGCGCATTCCTGTTGCAGATGTTAAGGCTTCAATTCGCGCAGTCCTTGTGCCTTTTTCGCGTAATCCTAATATATTTTCTTAGACCTTTCGCGCAATCCTGGATTATCGGATTGTGAAACCAGCGCAAATAACGTTGATGTTAGTTTTGGTCAGTATCCATTCAGTGCTCATGAGCAATAACCTCAGAGGAGGCATTGAGCAGCGCACTGAGAACACTAGAACAGTCTACCTGTCTACATAAACACTGATCGAGTTTGACATCAGTTTCACTTGTATTGATTTTAGTCTTTTTTCAGCTTATCTTTAGTGGTATCAGGAACAGGATAACAGCATTGCTATAATAATTAATTACTTAAGCATTGCAAATACAGTACCTACATATATTCACCGAAGTATATGCGTTTCAATGTAAGATATCCTACAGACCTACTTGCAAAATGCCTCCTCGATCGTCTATTAGAAAGCAACTTATGTGCCTGCACCTAAATACGACGTTATCAAGCAATCGGAGGGTGTATACACTGCTCTGTAATCGACATTGATTTATCAGATCGTCACTGCGGCTTACTTTTAAGTTGATCTGGCGAGTGTACTGTGATATTTCTATGATTCTACAGTCGGTTCCTCTTCGATGCTTCCAGCATCATGTCAAAATGTATTTACTCTACAGCGATATTTCTCCTTGCATTGGCTGAAGCTTCGGTAAGTCGAAACGGCTAGTGATCGTAGACGAATTTCGCAATGAGGATGTATTAGAGATGAAATAAAGCTAAGATTTTGCAACTTCTTCGTGTACAAATAAATTAACTGAAATCAGATCAATAAATGTTTTAGTGGTAATTTTCTTGATGAACGATTTTTTTTTTCTTTTGTCAACATAAAAACTTTTCAAATTCTCAGGTTATTTCTGTAAGAGAAAAGAAGTTTCAAAACCTTTTGCTAGAACATCTTTAAGTATTGCAAGTATGGTGCAAGTAATTGCTGCCTGAAAGACGTCCTATTGACAGTCAATAAACAGTATAGCTGAGTTGCTGAGTGCAGCAAAAATATAGAAATAATTTTGCAATTCAATGCAATGCCAATATAATTGCACTTTTTAATACCATGAAATTGCAATATGTTCACACCATTTGGTCAATGAACGACGAGTTTAAACGATCAAAAAAATGTGTTCCACGTGGGAAAAAGGTAGTTAGGCAATTTGTAATGCAAAAAAAAAAAAAAAATTAACTTGTTTCGTTTTTATCGCAACGAGAAGAACCCCTTCAATTAGCGAATAGCAACATACACAACACTCCAATAAAATAAGGTGGTAAAATGGTGCTGGGGTACACACCTTTTTGAGGGGAAAACAAAGGCAAAAAGTTCAAAAATTTCAACTGGAGTCCAAAATTTTGAGCTCAAATGAGATAACCAGTACAGAACGAGGGAGGGGGTGCGGTGTGCAGCTCAATAGCGATACTTGGGTGCCTGGCAGTCTTTCTAAAATCAATAATATTTCGCAGGTGATCGCAGACTTCGATAAAGCTCTTGCAGAATTTCGAAAATTAAAAGAAGCCGGAGCCAGCCAATTGAGGGTCCTGATGAAAGACACCGACTTGCGCAAGTGTAACACCACAGAAAATTTTTTATCGCTCTTGAATGAGGAAGATTCAATCTATGGAAAGCTGCAGGCATGCTTTGTGGCGGTCCAAAAAATACTCAATTCCGTCGATGGAAAACCCACTCCACAACACGTCAAACGAGTAAGAATAACAAGGGGGCATTTCGTCGCATTTTCCTATTTCTCCATATTTTACTTGCTCCCAAGTAGCGAAGCGCAATGAAAATATTGGAATAGAATTGCGGTTTTTTTATTACCACGAAATTGAATTTTTTTTACATTATTTATACTCAATAAATTTAAGCTTTCAAAACTTTAAACGACCAATAAGATAAGCTGCGTGTATCAGAGAGATAGACAATTTGCAATGCAAAGAAACATTGAGACTTATTTCAATTTAATTTTATTGCAATAATCAGTAGGGTGTGCTCCTTCAATTAGTAGATAGGCAACATACACAACACTCCGATACAGTTACACTAATTTTAATACATGCTACTTAAAATACGGATACCTAGGTATTTCGTTGTTCCGCTTACGTATAGGCGTAACTATATACTCAGCAATGTCAAAACTTGACTGCACACTAGTTAACGCTTGCACTTGAAATATTTTTAATTTTTGAGAAAACTGGTAGGAGGCAAATTTTTGTCAATCCGGCGAATTTTTGAGCCCCACCAAGACATATTTCCCCGGAAGAACTCCTCATTGATGATTACCTTTTTTTTCTTCGTTTCAGGCAGCAATAACATTCCTGCGGAGCGACTTGTTTGGTAGCAACATTCAGAGGTTGAATCAAATTTTCCCATCGGCTAATAAGGACTTAGCTTCCCTTCCTCGGGCTGCACAAGATAAAGTCTTGTCAGTCGCAAACGCGTTCAGTGGCACCGCAAAGCAATTGAATACGTTAGTGACTTTTTTCAAGACCGAAGCGGAGAGGGACACGACGAATATGTAATCAGTTACTGGCATCAGATCTAAACACTGAAAAACTCAAAATATGACGTTCTTCATTTGTTAAGTTTCCGAAAGGACGCGTGGCCGTTCGGGCCCAGCGCTATCATTCGCAAACGGTTTGATTGATTCCTTGATCCTTGCAAAAATTGACATCGCACGAGAAACGCCTTCATTGAGCAAAGATACTCCCTAGCGTTGCCACGGAGGCCGAATAGTTGCATCATTTAAATACCCGATCAACTTTGTAGGAGCACGTAGAATAGCGAGAAGTGCGGCGCTTCACGTGGTGTTCTGTTGAAAATTGACATCGCACGAGAAACGCCTTCATTGAGCAAGATACTCTTTAGCGTTTCCGCGGAGGCCGAATCGTTGCATCTTTTAAAAACCCATGGAATCAACAGTGTAGCAGAGGAATTTATAGTCAGTAATGCGGTTGCGTTTTTTTAAAACACAACGCCCGACGACATTTGTTTCCTTCCTGAAAGCTGCTAGTGATAAAAATTAAATTACTCAAAGAAGTGCTATTGCGAGGACACCTAATTTTTTGACAATCCCTAGCAGTTGGTACATCATTCAGATGAAGAATTAAAAAAATGAACTTTAGTGATTATTGATCAAATAGAAGTTAAAAAAAAAAAACAACGCTTCAAAAGTTGTTTTGAGGCTTGTAAAAATATGAATTTTGTTTCTTTTAAATACTTTGCGCGCAAGGTAGGTAGGTATGTAAATTCAAGAAGTGTATGATGGTGAGCCTTTGAAAAATGAATGTATTCGATTTAAGGATGGTAAGGTGGAAAATAATTTCTTGAAACTAACAATCATGTACCTATTAACTACCTGGTGTGATAGCTAGCAATCAATGAGGTGGAAAAATAACTAAAAAATATACTAGGAAGATAATTTATGCTTTATTCAAATTCTGAAGAGAATAAAAAAATCACAGCTAAATCTGAGCAACGATTTGAAAGGCAACTCTGGCTGTAACTTTGCATACTTTAAACAGGAATGTAATGTTAACACTTGAAAATTTGTCTAAAAAATGTTTAAAAAACCTATACTTAAAAAACCCCTATGACTAGATTTTAAGGATTCCAAAAAAACCGAACAGGAAGAGACCAATTAAGAAATAGTGACAGTATGAATTACAGTTCATGAAAAAATATAAAAATCAAGCATGAGAGCACAAATTATTGTAAGAAATAAACCCTGACCCAAATTAGTACATTCTACAGGCTTATTTAATTTAAAGCCTATTTCGACTTGATTTTTGATTTCTTTGATTCTAGATCCAGAATTTTTGTTTTGTAAATAGAACAAAACAGAAGACCAACATTGACAAAGTATGTACTAACACAGACTAGACAAAAATCTTTTAAGATAAAAATCAAAATGCAAGCAAAGTAAACAGAAGAAATGTTGGAAACAACAGCTAAGATGATTAAAAGTTTGCTCACAATTTTGAAGTTTAGGTAACCTGAAAAAGACAAAAAATTGCAGCATTAATAATGCTGTTATTTTCACATCTAAGAAAGCACAAGAACATGATGATTTGAACATTTAGGAAAGAGCAAGAGCATGATGAAGAGAGGAGAAAATTGAGGGAGATTAAGGGAAGACCATTGAAATTAGTGTTAGGACGTGAATACAAAAATGAGATGATGAGAGGACGAATGAGAGAGTGGCATAAAATATCACAACACAAAATGAAACATATCGATGCTGAAACTACCAGACCACATATCTCGTTTGCGGTGTTTAAAAATCTCTGCTCACATTATATTTTTTTGAAGGAAACCAAACCGATATCATTCCTTGAAATTTTCACACAGTTTACTCTGTACGAAGAGGAAAACTCACGGAAGTTTTCAAGAACTGACGTTGAATAGTTTCCCATTTAAAAAATTGAGTAGGACGAGAGGTCTGCAATGTCGCAAACTGAGATAGGTGGTCTGGTACTTTCACCGTCTCTATGGATCGCACATGTATTACAAAGAGCAAAGCATCTACTGGTTGCATTATACGTATCATGCCAGAATTATTTTACGATTTTGAGAGGTGCAAAGTTTAAATTAATCCTTCATTTTCAAATCCTCTGACTTCTCTCTAGCCTTTATTCCTTTTCTCTGACTCCAAAAATGCTGAATACCGAATTTCTGACAAAACTTTTATTTCTACCTGTATCATATGATCAAAGCAGAGCTCCCTAAGTGGCATCAATTGGGGTCATGTGACACTTAATGACCCTTGAAGAGTGTTGCCCCACAATCTTTGAAGGTCTTGTCGCCCCACATGACGCCACTTTCATAGGGCTGTCCTCTTTTGATTATGTTGCCTTTGGTAAACTTTGGACAAAATTCCCATTTCTAGAGATACAAAATATAGGAAAAGGAAGTTAGATGCTGTAGACGCTATCTTGAATAGCATCAGCTGAAGTTGCTGAGTCACTGAACTACTGCCAAAATTCCCTGACTTTTTTAGGTCACTATAAAATTTCCTGATTTACCAGGTTTTTCAGACTACCAAAAATCCTGAAGGTTATTGATTATGATTAGGTTCCTACTTAAATTAAAGTATCTAGTGGACAAAGAAGAAAATTGAAAACTTACTCAATAGGAAAAATGTGCTGTAGAAAATTATTCCAAACAAACTATTTGGTTGATTTAGTATGGAGTCTTTTGAAAATATTCCAAAGCCAGTGCTGAAACTGAAAAGTCAAGAATACAAAACATGTTTAAAATTGTGCGATCTGCAATCTGGGCATTACTGTAAGATGATTACCGAGGTAAGTGGGTACCTAGGTAGATGGTTGTGGAGGGTTGCTAAGTAGTATCTTTTTAAATTAGTGAAAATGGTGCAATGCTTAGTGAACATGAAGATCCACATTACACTAAGGTACTTCTCAATTTTAGAGGAAGTTCAACGGAAATTGAACATTTTTGAAATTGATACAATTAGTAATTAGTGTCTGATAAAAAAATTTTTCATCTGCTATTACGACTTTTTCTTCTGAGGCCTTGTCCAAACAAGCGCAGCTAGGACAAATTAGTTCCCTGAACCGGAGGTTCCGGGAACAAGCTATGGGTAAGTTATAACAACTTCCTAGAATAAGTTCGCCCGAAATTCCTCGAATAGGTAGTGCTCATAAGGACAAGGCCTTTGAATGTCAAACACATCTAGGAGAACTAGGGCAAATTTTACTGAAGATGACTACCATGACTACTGAATAAAACTTGACTTGTAGCAGGTTCATCAGTAAAAAACGTTAATCGAACCTCAATTCCTCAATTGTAGGGGGAAAATTAGCTTTCTCATCAGCCATATCCTTACTGCATCACCTGCTTATTGATTAGAACATTATCTTCCTGACATTCAATAATATTCCCTTTTAGAGCAGACTCATCGTATGTTGAGACAAATGTCAATCTCTGATTACTTCCGAATCAGCACCTCGCAACAGGTTGGTACATGCAGTCAGATGGCACCACTGATGAGTGGTGACCTAAACAATACTTGACTTCTATCTCAACATGCAATGAGTCCGCTCTGCTACCTACAGCTTTGAAAATTAAATTAGATAAATAAAATAGAGGGTATTTTTTGCAGAATAGAGAATCGCAACTTCTGATCCCTGCGCGATGGCCTATTTCTTCTTAACATGGTCTTTAGTCTACTAGCAGCTAAAAACATATCAACGAACTTGTTTACCCAACATTTGTAAAAGTTTTCAAACTACACTGAAGGATTTGCAAGTTTTGTGATACAATAACTTACCAATACCTACACATGCTTGCCATTACATATCCTTTTCATCCGGATTGCATGTTGATTCCAAGTCAATAGAATACAGGAAAAATGAATGAATGTTTTAATTTTTGACTACCTGCAGACCAAAGGCCTTGTTGACAAAAGAAAATTTGTTAGATAAAGACCTGGTGTGGACATTGAAGAGGGGCAATACCATGGTGTGAGCTTTGCCTACGGTCAGCAGCTCCTCGCTGGGATTAGGCGTTGCGATTCTCTTTCTGCATGAAAACGCCCCTTTTATACTATAATTTCATTATTTAGATTGCAGCCATGGAGTGGTTTCATGTGCCAAGGAAGCTGAATTCTATCAAATAGATATTGACTTGAGCAGCAATTCAGAAAGGAGAGAGGGATTTGGGAATATAACTGGTGATACTGAGCTGTTCGGCACAGAAAACTAGTCACTAATATTTCTGCACAGGCTTCTGATATATAAAACTGGCAAAGAGAGGACCGATTTTCCATTATCAAATACAACATACAACCGCAAAATTTTATGAAATAACTAAGATCGATAAAAAACTATAAAATACTAACCTTGAATTGAGAACGTTGGAGCAGCTCATGTGTTCACTGACATCGCAGAGAGCGACATAGTTTGGATTGTGTTTCTTTGATACTTCAACGTAGAGAGCATATATTGACAATGATATACCGATGAAACATAGTATACGGATACCATTGTTCCAACCTTTAGTACTGACAGGCATGGTGATATAAAAGGTACAAGAACACCTAAACACAACCACTTGTTGCTCAAATTCACACGACACTTTTTCTCATCAGATAAGTGATAACACCCAGTGTGATGTTTCCAACTTGGATAAGCGATTACTTTGATATACAGAATCACGTTTGATCTGAGGGATCGAAAGCGTTTATCCTAGTTCACTGATCAATTATTATTAGGTAGAGAGAAAGGAAATTCTTGAGGGGAACACGGAATTCACGGAATCACAAATCTGTTGACGGATTTTATCAAAACGTTCTTATCAAAACAATAATTTTTTGACGTTTTTGACTGTTTACAGAGTTTCGCTCTTTTCCTGTAAGAGAGCAGCACGGTCAAATATTCAATAAAATACAAATTTTTAAACAATCTGACATCATTGTTACCGGCAGATTTCTGATCCGCCGCCATTGCGCCATTTTGTATTCCGTTTGATTGTGGTGGCTGTGTAGCCACTCCTCGTCATTTTTATTAATAATTTTTAATTTCCTTTTAAAATTGTGTTGATCTCCTAACTATGGCCAGCAATCGTAAGTTATTAGCTTGTAATTCTCGCTCTCTTTCAGACACTGCACCACGTTCTTTGCTGACTAGTGAGGATTATTTCTGGCACATGCCGATGGGCACTATGCTATTTTTAGGCCACATTGCTTTAATCCATGGGGCCACATTCCTCTCATTTACCTTTTGATTTGAGAATTTACCTTTGTCGGATTAACTATTTATCTAAGACTCTCTTAGTTACGCTCTGTTCATTTCTACACCATCCCATCAAACATTTGAACAGTCTGTCAATCACTTGTGCACTTCCGATGCTCTATGATTTGCGCTCATTCACTCAGATGCTGCAAAGAAGTATTAAATCACGAAAGTCTTTAGTAGAATTTTGATGGAAGCAATCAGCGTTAAGTCCTACTGAGCATTTTTCCTGCAAGTGACTGCAATAATAATGCCAGAGCCTATTTCTTTCGCCCTAGAAGAATCTACTTGTGAGTGTGCGCCCAGGACATATCTCTGCTGATGAGTTAACTCTTGCCATCTGTCCGTGTTGCTATGCTTGAGACCGCATCTATTGGAAAAAAAAAAAATCGCTCAGCAACGCTGACAGATGGTGCGAATTAACTCTGCAACTGAGCTGTGTTCCAGGCTTTCGTGACGAGTATACTCGTCAAATAAGACGAAGTGGTTCTAGGGATGAGGATCTATCTGTCAACATCCAGACCGAAAGCAACAGTGGCTGCCCTACGTTACAGCATAGTGGAGGCGAAGCTGCTGATGCAGAAATAGTAATATTCTGCTCCTACTATAGAGCAGGACATGGAAGCAGTACCTAGTTGTTGAGCAACTTGCTATTGAAATCACTCTAGCTTGAAGCGTCTGAATTTATGTTTACAGCCTTTTGAATTTGCCCTGTAGCTCAGTGAAATTTTTGTTTCAGAATACGCCCCTCCTAATTATGGGAATGCTCCGGGCGGTTACCCTGGCTATGGAGCGCAGCCAGGAGGCACATTCCCACCCGTAGGGTACCCTGGTTTTGGTGGTGCTATGCCACCCTCTTGGGGTCAGCAACCACCTCCTGCAGCTGGTGGCGGCGCTGCTGCTGGTGGCTATGGTGCCAATCCAGGTTGGTGACCAATAATTTTATTTTAACGTAGGTCTAAGTCCAGTCGTAATAATTACTCCAGGGTTATCCTTGTTGTTGTCTGAGCCAGAAGTGTATGTATGGACTTGTAATTTTTATACCCTTTTTTTTTATAGTTAAAATTTTCAGAAGTAGGAAATGTCAGGGTTTCTACCTGCGGGAAAACCCCTGGAATGGAATTTTGAGGGAAAACCCAGAGAATTTGGCGAAGACTCTTAAATATTTGCTTTTTCAAATGGAAATTTTATTTTGGTATTTGAACACCATTGAGCCTGCTTTGTTCTCAGAATAGGATTGTGTAGTAGTGAAGTCAATCAAGAAATTCTAAATACAGGGGTACTTAGTGAGTTTAAGTTATTAGCTATCAAAACCTCGGAAGAATGATAGTGTTACACCTCTGTGACAAATGAAGTTGGAAAGAGTTAGTTTATGCAATCAATCAGGAAAATCATAGGGAATTTGGAAGTTGAAACATAGTAGGAACCCTGGATCCCTTCCTAAGTTTTGCTGGAGTTGGAGTATCAGTATAACAAATTATTTATAAGAAAATTAACTGACAGAAGTTTAGTGCAAGAGCCAGTAAAAAGCCAGGGTATTTGGATATGAAGAAATTATGAGCATCTTTTGCATGTTTCAGGGTATCAAGCTGGAGGTTATGGAGGCCAGCAAGCTAGTTTCCCAGGTCAAGGTGCGCCAAATCCTAATTACCCAGCGCAAGCCCCCAATTTCCAACAACCTCCTCCTGCCAGTGGAGGTTATGGTGGAGCAGCTGGTGGCGGCGGCCGTGGAGGCCCTCCACCCTCAGGTGGCTATGGCAGTAAAGGTACATACCTATTTTATCCTTATTCATTCTTCTTCCATAATTGAAAAATTTCCTCATTCCAAGGTCCTATAACTCTCCCTAGAGGAAGAAAATGATTATTTTGAGGTACGCATACTCGGTGGGCTGGCAGAGATGGAAATTACTTTTCAAACCACCCTGCTACCATCGATCATAAAGCTTGTAAGCTACTGTCAGGATTCCCATAAAATTTCACCCAAAAATAGTCCTTGCACAAGGAGTTGCCAGAGAACGGAGAACTTCTAGTTAAGTTGCTGGTTATCGGAAGGATGTGATTGAAAACTAACTTATGTAAGTGATGGATTACTTCACTAATGTGCATGCATGTGCCCATCATGGGCCTTCATGCCTTGCTTAAGAAATTTAAAATAATTCTAAAAAGTTTGAAGTATTCTACCTAATTTATTCCAAATCTTCCTCAAGTAAACTAACTGTGTATCACCAGCCTTTTTCAAGATAACAATTAAAGTACCATGCAATATGAATTCATTGCTGAGTGAACATCATGTTGTGTGAATTATTTTCTGCGTAAGATTTTGATTGTGATAGTGTTGCCGTAAATTTCATTCATTATTATGCCTCAAAATAACAATTCCAGCTGAATTTCTGTAAATAACTACGTTTATTTAAGTCAACAGTCAGTAAATTGAACGAAGAAGTAAATTAAAACACTGCTCTCTAAAATCTATATGAATCTGACCTATGTCCTGGAGTAAATGTAGTCCAATTAATTATTTTTTTGTGTTAATTTTTTTTTTCTTGGGTTAGCCGGTCCTGGTGGCAATGACAGTTTCAATGGTTCAGGTGCCGGAGGCCGCGATTATGAGTGAGTCCCCTTTTTCTATTGCCTTTTCTCCTGGTGTTTTCATAAAGTCTAGTGGTTGGCTTTTTTTTATTTATTCATTTTTTTTCTTTTAAATCTTTTTTTGGGGGTCAATTTCTCTGAAGGTACAAATTACACCTAGTTCATTTAAAGTTGAAGTAAGGTTTCGCCTTGTTAGTAAATGAATGGGTCAAATAGCTAACATGATTCCAAGAAGATATGTCTGTAATCCAACAAGATACTTCAACATTCAGGACAGAGTTTAGAAGGTTTAACTTTTCAACCAATTTGGCATTCCATGTTGCAAGTGCCCAATTCAGCAGACAAAGGAGTTGGTATGCATTAGAAAAATAATGATTGGCTCTTAGATGAGCTCAGTTGGAATCCTTTTTTAGCAAAAGCTCAGCGTCGTACTTGGGAAGACTTTTTCTGAGTATTTGATCATTATATACCAAGTATTTCTATTTTGTGACTGTATCTCATTCTCCTCACATGGTATGGTCTGAACTTCTCAGTGGTATTTGTAATTTTTCATGCACTTTCTGGATCAACTTCAATGAATAATTTATTCTACGCCCATCTAACAACAGAATTTTCTGCTTGTTGGAGCGACCTGAAAGTGTAAACCTACTAGTCTACGGATGGTTAGTGGTGCTAACAAAGTTGGTAACTATTCTCCTGGAAGAGTGGGGACCCGCAAAACATTTTGAGAAAACTGAAAAATGAAAGGTCATAGGTAATTTTCTGGAACTACTCATCAAGTAAGGGATCATGTGCTTTGCTGAGCAATTTATTTTCTCAAGCAAACATTCCTTATTTTTATCATTCATATGTTCAAAGAAAAGAAATATGTGTTCTTCTCTCGACAGTATTTTACGTCATCATGTTTCGAGTCTGGTTTTGCCACGTTTGGTAATTCTTTAGTTTAGCAGATGGACCATACCACAAGAATGGAGTTTAAATCAAAGTTCGTGTATCATTGAGACGTACATCTGGTTTCTTTTTGAATTTTTTTACCGGGATTGGTAGGCTCAATGGAACATGCTTTCCCATCAGTGCTTGAAGTCAACGTTACTTCATACAGTGTGGCATGCTCTGTAGAAATCTGAAAAATATTTGTGCACCAATTATCAACATACAATTTTGAACCTTGCGGAAAAGTATACACCAATGTTCGAAATATAAAGATTAGGGTCACAACATTCAGCCTAACCTGTGCAGAACTTTTTACTTGTGAATTTTTAAAGGACCAAAGTCTGTTAAATGATGTCGCAATGATCAATAGAACATTCAGCTGTGTCAGGGTAAAAATTTTAGCAAACCTAGCTGAAGAAAATTCTTTCTGACTTCTTGTAAACGTGCTTACGAATATCAATGATAGGTATAGCCATTAAGTCAGCACGGGTAGCACTTCTAGCTTATATCACTATTACCATCATTTTATTTTTGCTTCAAAACGCTCGCCACCAGCTCAACCCAGTTAACCTCTACCTCAAAGTTTCTCTATTTCTGACCAACCTCGTGAAAAAAGGCTCTCATGACTCTTAAAATTATTAAATAGTGCAATCTTTCCTTGAGGTAAATAACAGTGATTTTAGTTCATTGGTTACTAATTAGGACTTGCAAATTATTGCATTCATTGCAAAGTTTAGGACAGACTGGGCTATTTCAAGAAAAATATAGCCCAAGATTTGATTACAAAATTAGCTTTCTTGGTTTCCTCTTGTGACGAATATTTATACGTATCGCCATGTTCAGAACCAACTTAGAAATACAATACATTTTTTTGCAGATGTTCTCTAGTCTGTGAACTCAATGTCTCTTCTGGTGGAAACAGAAAAAGTTTATTTGATGTCAGTTCCATCAGTTCTTATTTGTTTTGAACATTTTACACGTTTAATAATTATTTAAGAGCTTTTTTTCTGGGGTCGGTTATATTTTAGTTGAAATCTCCCTGAGAAACAGAAGTTGCCTCAGTATGTGGCTATTATGCACTGTAAGCAATAGTGTTAGTCTTTTTAGATCGGGAAATATTATTTTCAGATAATTAATGTCACTGCCTATTTTACTCAGTGACTGAATAGTGCGGTGAAATAAGTAGGTACTGCACTTTTAAATCCTTGGTCTTGGTATTTAAGTAATTATATGTAAGGGAACTAAATTGAAAATCTCCTCGGACTGGTGACCTTTTATTTCATCGCACCAAGTATTTAGAACTGGTCTTTTGCTTCACTGATTCTTCCTGGTATATTCTTAATTTTAATGAAAAAATTCCTGTTTTTCTACAAATGTTGTCTACAGGTGTTATTATTAAGTTTCATCCGAAATGAAGGTATTCTTAACTCACGACTTGACTAACACGGGACCGTGGTAAGAGTCCCCTCCTGTAACTGAATCATGAATCGTGCGAGGCTTGGTTGGTTTTGGAGGTGTTAATTAATAATAGCACAACCTCCATTTTATCCAGAATCTTAGTGGTCCTTACATCAAACTGCATCTCTGGGCATCTGCCTAGGTTAGCTCAACTATCGCGTAATGAATTGGTACTCATGTTATTGAGAGATCAAAGGTTCAGTTAATATTAAAAGATTGAGGAAGTGGTTTGAATTGAGTAAGTGCATAACACACAATACTAGATGAGTCAGAAGATTTTGATATAACTGATGGGTATTCAAGAATCTTTGGATCTTAGTTTTTAGTGTCCATCACCGTCCAACTACAGTGAGAATGGTAAACGAAATCAAGTCTTAAATCAATATTTTTTCATAATCAAGGTCCTGTGTAAAACTCGAAGCCTTAAGAACAATATTTGTTTTATTATGCAAGCTACAGCGTCAGATAGTAAAATTTGCTGAGGCTTTTATGCTTCAGATAATGTTCGTAAAATATTTTGAAAATCTTGGTTCAAATTTCAAAAGCGACTCTTAAAATGATACATTGAGCATTTGGTAAAAAGTACTTAACTCCGTTGAATTTTATACTACTTTGCCGTGAAGTACACTTCTTTAACTTTCAGACTTTTTTTTAATTGGAAATCTGAAACTTATGTTTAAATTTAGCAGGTACTCAAAGAACTTAGTTAGTTTTACCACGAGGTTCAACGATATTAAGAGGTGATAGGATCAAGCCTCACTACTGAAAGCCTGAAATCAATTCCCAATAATTTTTAACCCTGCCATCATCAACCATTCTTTTTTCCATTTATTGTTTTCCTATTTTGTAGTAGGTGAAATACGCCAATGCCTCAGTTGTGTAAAGACTACTCTTTTTGCTTCCCGGAAAAGACCNGGGGGGGGGGGGGAGAGAGAGAGAGAAAAAGCAGAATTGAGGGCATAATTTATTTTTTACTTGTCTTTTCTCTCAGTAAATATTTGATGCTTTCTGTCTATTTTCCAGTTTCATGACAACCACCTATGGACCACTAAACAGAGTAACAAATAACGAATCATAAAATATGTTTTAAATTTTATGCAGAACACGATTAGAACTTATGAAATCACACTCATTATTATTGAGAAAATAACTGTTCATGACTGTTAATTCACACTCCTGCTCACAGAAATAATCGAGTTAAAGAGAGCACTAAACTAATTTTGGTTTATTTTACAATGTTACGTGTTGTTCGTCTAGTTTCCTCTATACTTACTACCTTCTTTAACAAGATTGAAGGTACCGTGCATTAGAGGAATTAAGGGTGGACTCAAGCGTGAGTTATTTACTTAATGTATAGATTTATTCCAATGTCTAATTTGCCGTACATTGACAGCGTGAAAACGTTTATTCATTTATAAGTTAATTTTGGAAGTTGTCGATGAGTTCAACAAGTTCTATGTGAAATTTTGAGCAAAATACATGTGCTAAATTCTCATGTTATTACTCTGTCTTAGTGGTCTATTAATTGAGTGGCAACTTGTTTTATTCCTCCAGTTCAGTGAAAAAATGAATCAGTATCTCTGTCTTTTTTTGCTAAGTTAGGTAGAAAGTAACTTCAAAGACTGATGGCTAGTGTATTTTGCTCTTCTGTTCAAATCATTTATCATCTCCTGTTATAAAATGATTTGTCAAAATTGTTTGACATCACACACTACTGATTTTTGACCGATGAACTAACTGACTGACTGATTGACGGACTAATTAGAAGCAAAGTTTTCATCTTGAGGATGAAGTCTTGACTGCGGCATGGAATGAAGTTGCAAATTCTGTTCACTAATCTCTGGTATCTGAGCGTCTACTGATCCACGATTTTGATTGCTTCTGTTCTAGTAGCAGAGGCTCCAGGGGAGGTTTTAATAAAGGTAACTACATCGGTTATATCTGATGTATCATATTCATTCTTTTATGGTTATTATGGTTAACGTACTATGAACGCAAGTTGTTTTTGAACTTATCTCTCCCATTTCTGAGGGTCGATTTATTCGTTCAAGATTAATCATTGACTTTCTGGGCAGAGTTTAATAGAAATGCACCAAGTTTGAATGGTGAAAAAGAAGTTTAAAGTTTAACCCTCCCCTTAAAGAGTTAAACCCAATGTCAAGGACAAGAACAAATATTTTACGTTTCAATATCTCCTCAGAGCTCGAATTTTTGATAAGAGAAAATTTTTGAAGAGTTGAATTTAAAACTACTCCGAACTTACTTTTTCTCCAAAATGCGGAAAATGCATTCCTGTAAAACTCAGCCCCTCCAATCCATTGATCCCTTTCTTCAGTTTTTTCCCTCCTACAGAACTAGTAATTGTTTTTCGCTTGAACTCAGTAACCAAAATTATGTTGAAGTAAGGAAGGAAGTAATGTTGCCAATGAATGCAATCACAAATGTTCAGTGAGTTTCTCGAGTTACCTCATCCAATAGAGCAAATCCTTCAGGAACAGAGATCTTTTCCTAAGCAATTTGCGTTCAATTTATTTCTCTTTATTTTACTTTATTTTTTACATCTTCTAACAAGAGTGTCTTACTCCTATCAATTTTTTTTTTAAATCTTCCCTCTCAAACATCTCATAATTTTTTGAAGCCATTTTTAACAGCCCTTAATGCTGTCTACGTTCATGATCAGATCACATTATTGTTATGACTTCGTAAGAATAAACTTCATTTGGAAGAGAAGAAAAAAAAATTGTAGTTACTTTTCACTCTCATACATTGGCAAGTGATGCTATAAGGTTTCACTGTGGTGATGCAGTAGACTCTCTTTTCTCTTACTTCTTTCCATAAATGTGAAATCTGGTGTAGCTTTTCGCATTACTCTAGAAAACTACCTTTCAATTACTGGTGTATTAAGTAAATATTTTTGCTGATACAATGATTGATAACTGGATGTGGATTCCGAGGGATCCTTTAATGTCATCATATCTATTCGTAATTATTAGAGGGTACCAAGATGGATATTCGTCTAATCTTGTCATCGTGTTTTAAAAGGTAATCGCATTTTTGGTCATTCGCTCTATGGCAAGGATGTTCCAAGTTTCGCATGACAAGTTTATAACTTGTCAGAAGGACATATGTAAAGCCGCTTTCACAGCGCAGCCTTGTACTCTGAAATGCCCAATTGCCATTATATACTTGTCAGGAGTACTTATCGAGAAAAAAATTTTTTACTCTAAGGTGAAGATTATTGGTGTATCATGTCATGATCCAGGCCTGTCTTTTTACATCTTATTCTTTATTCGTCAAACTTTTTGAAAGAGTATGTAGCTGTATGCTCTCTTGAATTAAGACTCGGGGCCAGTTATCCTAATTTTGGAAGAAATTAGGTCAAAAAGGTTGAAAAGGGGTATGAAGCTCAATATTTACTGAATTGAAGACATTCTAAAATCGCAGCAATTCAAGCTCTCGAGAAAATTTACAGGGTGCCTAACGTATGAGAAAAGTACAAACACTCTGAAGAAGCACGGATTTTGAAGGGCTGTATGAATGTACAGGATACATCCAGTCTTTCAACTAAAAGTACGGACGTCTGAGATTTTTTGTGAACGAGCCTTGGAAGTGTGCAATTTTTAAACATAATTTATCACATTTATCATGGTCCTGTAAAATCTCAGTTAGATTCTGCGACTTCTTCAGTTCATTCCGCCAGGATCTCCAAACTCGTTTTTCCTAACCTGGAATTCTTCATCTTTAGCGCAAATATTTCCTTGACAGAATGAAACATGTGTCAGGGAAGGGAAAAGGCAATCAAGAAACTTAGAAACACGGATTTTAGGAAACCCTTGAAAAAAGAAACATCTTCGGAAGTATAGAAAAAGAAATGATAAAGCACGGATATTAGATGATGACATACTAGTATACGTCTTAATAGAGAATGAAGTTTGGGTCGATATGTTTGCTCAGTGCGTTCCGCTGGCGTATATGCATTCAACCTATCTCTCCAGTCCTCACGAAATTTAGGAAGTTGCTTTACTGTGATGCAAGCACAATCCTGCTGTGAGATCATGAATGGTTTACGAATTTTCACATGTAATTCATCTCTAATTCAGCCAGCTCCCTTGACAGCAGTCAGCAACTAGAGAAAAAATACCATTTTTGTCATCACTGATAAAATTTTTCACCAACTTCTCTGCGACTCCCAGTATGTCTGCTCTCAAGATTTACTGCACCATCCACACTTAAAACGATGGGAAATTTGAAGCTGTGTATCTTAAGCCTAAATGGTATTATCACCTGATATGTGATTTCCATGAGTACAAACACAGCATTCATCAAGGATTCACTGCTTTCACCAAATGCTCACAAAAATGGCTATGACATTCTGTGGATACTCGTATCAGTTACTTTTTGTCCGTGTTAGGTTTGTTCTCTGATGAAGTAGAAAAAGTGCTTGAAAGACTCACTAGAATGGTTTTGCAGGACCCAAAAGAAATTCAAGAAAAGTTGATCAAATATTGGATGGGTCTTGACGAAGAAAATAGATTAACTCAGTCGCGTCACATAGATCTCGAGTGTTTAATGAAAGCTGTTCATTTACGAAAGTAATTTTTACTAGGTACTGAGGGGTATTTTGCTCCCTAGTTGACTAGTCCCATGGAGCGGTCGGTGTCTAGTACATGATTATCATCTGAATAAGTTAATGGCAACTTCAGGTCATAAGTTATTATCATGGTTAAAAACCTGCTGGAGATATAGCAGAACACTAGGTTTAAGGTGTGATCATTTATTGAAATCTGTATTAAAATTGGAAGAGATGGACAAATTCCAATCAGGATTATGCAATTTACAATTTAATCAGAAAAACGTATATGAGCTACCTAATTTACTTTTTCACACGTGGAATGGGAATTTTTGGATATCAAGCACCCTCTTTCTTATTGTCTGCCATCCCTTAAACTGACCTCATTTTCTCTCAGTCAACAAGCACTAAGTGCTAATCTCAGGCATACACTGCGATTTCTACTGATGCTGATCTGTTATTAGATATTTCGGATGGCACCCCATGTTTTTTCATCAATAGAATTTCAAGAGTATCTGAAGAGAAAAGAAGGCTTTTCCAAGGGTGCAGAATGTTTTTTGCCTTTCCAACGCTGCACACCGTAAATGCACTTGGCTCTTTTCTTCATCTATTAAAGCTTGTTCATTAGCTTTTCGCACGACGAATAGCTAATTTACGCAAAATGCTATTGCCTCCAATAAGTGAAGACACTGTACTCCCCGCCTTCACGTTGTCCACAGTCCATGCATTTTTCCAACAACTTATCTGTGCCTTGCTGAAGCAAGTGATTTCTGATCTCCGGGACTCAATTTACTTCTTAGAAATCACACTGGGTCTTGTTATATTCGCAAAGTGTGTATTTTAAGCACAAGCACATATAGTTACTCCTTTGATGATAGTTTTGAAAGAGTTATTTTGACGATAATTCTATCATCCTTTCCTGAAATAGAAGATCTTTTCAAGGAAAATGCGCCATTGGTTTTCAACAAACTTCCTCAATAAAATGCAGTAGACAAAAACCTCGTATGAAATGCATACTCCAGAAACAGGGTTAACTGCCGCATAACCTAGGACTTCAATCATTTCCAATACGGATACGGCTTAATTTTTTTTTAAGTTGGTGTCATTATCCTCTTCTCAAGAAGCTTGAAACATGTTACAAAACTCACCTGATTTCAAGAACTCAATGTTTAAGAAATCTAAGGAAATATTCCGGCACAATTATACCACGAAACACAATCGGAAGACATTTTGATTTTATATAATGCAGAAAAACAATTTAGTCCAGCCTAAAATAATATCATCTAACATAGGTTAAATCATTTTCAACCTTTTTACCTTTTTTTTTATTTTTTCATAGTACCCAAAAAAAAAAAAAGATGAAATTTCAACTTTTGTTTTTTCTTGGAGGATGACAATACTTCCTCTCTACCCTAGGGGAGCGAGAAAGTAAAAAGCCTCTAGCATCCACAATGTTTGGAAAGTGTAACTAACAGTTAACTCCCTCTAGGCAGGAGTCATATTTTGAGTGTTAAATGAATGTGGATTGTATTTTTCTTTCGACTCAAGTCCAGATCCAGATTGAAAGATTATGTTAGGAATTACTGCTAATTTAGTTTGCCCAATTAATGTACACTATAAACTTCTTTCTATGGGGTTTCCGTCTTGCTCACGCATATTTTAAACATTTCCTACTACACCCAGAAAAACACATAGCTCCAATTATTGGATATTCCATTCACTTTCTGTCATTATTTTTTGAGGGTGAAGTCATGCCAGCAATTTTTGATGATATCAACTATGGTAGTCATGGCATTGAATTTTTGTAGTTTATGAATAGATCTTTTTTTTATTAAGTAAGAATTTCTTTTATCTAGAAATCTCAGTATCTTCATTTCTCAATTGTATGCACAGCTCTCCGACACGTGTGTCTACACATGTGTTTTGGCTTACTTTTTCCCCCTCCTTTTTTTTTTTTTGTTTTACCGTATTTTTGTGTGAGGAACAAATCCCCTCCACTAGCCCTCTATTAAGTTGATAATTTTTAGTCGCCTTTCGTATCATCGTCTCAGCCATGAATCTTAATATCATCGGAGGGCTGCAGAAGGTCTCATGTATTTTAAAATTTTTCCAGTGCAATATCAAATTGTGAAAGAGAAAAAGTCAATTGGAAGTAAATATCACACACATACCTTCCTTTAAAAATAAGGAAGAAGAAAACTTCTTTCTCTCAAATGTGCTGCAAGCAATGATAGTCAACACTAGAATTTTGCAATTGTTTAAATTACAGAGTTTGGTGATGAAAGGAAAGTTCTTTAGAATAGAGAATTCAATTACTCTTTGCTCTGCAGCCCTGCCGTTATTCTTTCTCCTTTGTCTTGTTTTCATTTATTTCAGATTTTAGTGAAAATTATGTGTTATTGCAGTACTAATTTTGGTCTTTTGTTTTGATAATAGGCGGGGATGATTATGGCGACCGCAACAGGAGCCGTGATCGAGACAGTGACCGAGGTGATCGTGACGGTGGTTTCAGAGGTGGCCGCGGTGGCGGTGGTGGCTTCAGAGGAGGTCGGGATGACTACGGTGGAGGCCGTGGCCGTGACTCATATGGTGATAGAGGTAGTGACTCATATGGCAGTCGTGGTGGTAGTGACAGATATGGTGACAAAGGTCGAGATGACAGGTAAGAGATGAACGGATGTTGACAATTTTTTTTAAGAATGTGAGAAATTGAGAATGAAGTTCTATTATCTATACTTTTAATTCCAAAAATTTTCTCAGAATTTCAAATTTTTTTATTTTTTAATTAATGTTAATTGCGCTGATACAGGGTGTCAGCAAGCTAACCAGTCATAGGAATACCTTACAATATCATCTAAGTTCAATTCTAGTCACGTAATTGAATGAAGGAAGTACATTTATTGCCATAATGTCATAACTGGACTACTTTTTGCAAGTGGGATCCATAATTCCTGACTCTTCCGTAAAAAATGTATGTACATAGGGTAACTAATGTCACATATGTTGCTTCTATACTGATCCACAAACAGTAGTTCCTGTATAGGAAATGTAGTCCAATTGATCAGCATTGAGCTTGCTCATAATAAAATGATCTTGATGAGAGATGACAGTGCGGCTCTTAACAAATGTTTCGGTGAAAGTCATCATTCTATTGATACAAATTTAAACGCTTTCAAATTTTATGGCTGGTAATAGAGTACGCGTGACCTGTAAGTTACTATCTATTAAATTCCTGAAAATTTTGGAGGAAAATAGGGGACTGAAAAAAGAAGATGCAGCTCCATTATTTTGCCGCACGCTTCTAATTTTTATTATAAACGGAAACCTTACAAAATGGGGCTAATTTTCATTTTCTGCTGAAAGTAACACTCCCTAAAAGTTTTTCTGTGCTAAAATAAGAGATTCTCCACAACAGGGAAAACACTAAAGAGTTATTTTATACAATTTCAGAGAATTCTAGGATTTTCCTATCCAACTTGCATTTATGTTCAAAGATCTTTCTTTCTAAATGGCCCTATTGCTGAATGATGTTTTCTCATCTTTGGCGTGGAAAATAGACAGTAGGAATTGTTAAACAGGAGAAATTATTTAGCATTGCTGCAGCACTGCTCCAGTCATCCATTCTTAATCTTAAATTTATTATTTTTTTCTGACAGGTACGGCGGTGGCCGAGAAGATCGGTATGGTGGAGGTGGCAGAGGCCGAGATGATGACCGTTATGGTGGCGGCAATGATGTGGATTCACGTGGTGGTGGCGGCGATCGCTTTGGTGGTGGTGGTCGTGGCCGAGGCGGTTATGACAGCCGAGGTGCTGTGGATTCATTTGGAGGCGGAGGAGGAGCCGGAGGTGATGAGTACATTGTTCAAGAGGATACGATCTTTGTATCTGGGATGCCAGCGGAAACATTGGAAGCTGATATTCAGTCTCACTTTGGAGCAATAGGAATCATTAAGGTATAAATCATCTTATGTTTATGCAAGCATTTTCCCCTTTCATTACCTGTGCAAGATATATTTAATTACAGTCCTCATTTTCTTGAACCTCAGATTGCACCAAACGCCTATTTAAGCCCATCTGTCACTATGAGCTCCAGTAGTTCGTTGTGACCCAAATTTTGCTGTTTCTTTGATCAAATATTTAGTTGTCTTGATTTTTTCCACTTCACGTGTTAAGTACAAACAGTAAATTGATTCCAAAGTCAAGTGTCCACAAGTTTTCAGCAAATGCAGCAACCCAAGTTGCTTCCCTCTCCTCTGTGCTCACTGTGGAAACCTCTAAAACGTCTAATATCATCACTCATTAAGAGCTCAGTTGTTTTTTAATGTCCAAATTTGTAAGAGTAAAGATACAGAAAATAGGAATGCTAGTTTGAAGTTTTTCCTCAAGGTTTCTAACATTTTGTGTGCGGGGGAGGTTTTTGAAATTTTCCTCAGAAGTTTTCAATGTTCTTGATTTTATTAACTACCTAGAACTTTTTGACCAGAGTAAGAACTGTTGCCTCGTAAACATCTCAGAAACAACAAAATGTATATTATACTGCTTATGCTAACTAGATATGTAGTGATTTTTTTATTTTTAAATATAATGATCCTACCCTTGTGGACTCACCATGCTGACACCAAACGGAATTATTAAATCTTTATTTATGAACAAAAAGATAATCATATTGTAATTCTGTACCGTCAATCATTACATTTTCTCTGATTACAGAGTGACAAACGAACTGGTAAGCCGAAGATTTGGATGTACAAGGATAAAGAGACAGGACGGCCAAAAGGAGAAGCAACCGTAACCTACGATGATGCACACACAGCCCAATCTGCTATCACCTGGTTCCATGGTAAGTACAGGAACTCAAAATCTTTTGAATTCAAACTTCGAACTTTTTATTCTGATCTCTGAAAGTATGAGGCTGAAATCGAAGCTAAAAATTTGAATGTGCCCATCACATAGATGACCCCCCCCCCCCCTCTTTTTTTGGAGAAATTTTCTTGATTATTCATCAACCTCATTTCTTCTTTCCTGAATTATTCAAAATTTTTCAAAGCATCAGAACCAAATTTAGTTTTAAGGAGTCGCTTTTTGGGCTTATTTCTGATCTAACATATCTTTTCTTCATTTCTTCCTGCAGGGGTGCCCTTACAAATATGCACTGTACAAACACATGATTTGTGCAAGAAAGTGTTAAATATTTAAATTGTTTTTCAAGGCTTTGAAAGTGCCTGATGTTTTGGAAAGTGCTTAATTACTATCAATCGAAAGCTTCTCAGGTAAAAGAACGTATGAGGCTCACTCCAATTGTTTCTCTAAGTCCTGTGACATTTGAAGATTGTTCCTAATCTTAGGAACTATCTTTGGAAAGCAGGAATATGAAAATCAGAGACATCCGTGCTGGAAATCTATCTTGTTGATTATTCAGCCCCGTCAACTCTGAAACATTTGCGATAATATTATGCAATTTTTCGTAGCATTTTCAATGAATATAATTCATACTACTCAACTATTCATACTATATACTACTACTACACTACTATACTATACTATACTATATACTATATACTTCTATACTATTCATATATTCAACTTACTTTTTTACAATTGGGAGGAAAAATTCTGAGGAGATCCAGGGAAAACTCCTTAGCAGAGCTTTCAGATAGGTTATGTAAAATTGTAGAATTGCATTGCACAATCCTAGCAGAATAATTGGAAGCCTCATTAAGCCCTCTTACCTAAGAAGTCCTCAATGGAGAACTTGCCGGTGTTTTAAAGTTGATTCATTTTGTGTTCAAGTTGATACTACTAAAAGAACTAAACCCGAGGATACCCTTGGTTTATAAATTGAACAATTATTGGAGGAGATACGACCAAATGGTCTAATCTGCTAAAATACATGGCATGTGTTTAAATGGGAAGTGCTCACAGATGATGTCACTTGACAGTGCATTTTCTCACTTTTAAATCTATCTCAATACTATTTCCCATCTTAAAAAATACTGCAATCATCTCTTTCAGCACTTTCAGATGAACCAATCAAAAATTTGCATGCAAATTCTCCATTGTTAGAGGTGAATTCGTGGTGTTCAGAATTAACACTCAAAATGATAAATGTAGATTGTTTGTGAAGACATTCTATTTACTAAGGAAATTACATCTCTCTTTAAAGAGAATTATAAAATCTGACTCCTACTGATGTTTCAGGAAGGTAACTGTGAGTTTAGGAAAAAATTGCGAAGAAAGTCTTGAATTGTGCTTGCGAAGCACATTTTTGAGTTAATATTCTTCTTCTTCTAAGTTGCACAAACCTTGAATTATGTTTCCTCTCCTTTTTACTACTTCCGAATATATATTCCAATTTCTTCACTTAGATCCTGTGACATTTGAAGACGGTTTCTAGTCTTAGAAAGTGTCTTTGGAGAGCAGGAACATAAAGGTCAGAGACATCCGTGCCGGAAATCTATCTACTTGATTATTCAGCCCCGTCAACTCTGAAACATTCAATCAATTACTCAGTTTCTCTCTCAAGCGTGTTTCTCATAGAAGTCGCGATGCTCCCTTTATTAATACTGTTATTCTTTTTTTTCCTTCCTCAGACAAAGACTTCAAAGGTCAACGTGTCAAGGTTCAGATGGCAACCAAGAAAGATAACTGGATGGGTGGCCGAGGTGGTGGACGCGGAGGACGAGGAGGAGGTCGTGGCATGGGTGGCCCCCGTGACGGTGGACCCCCAGGAATGAGAGACCGTGAGGATCGTGATGACAGAGGTGACCGTGGCGATAGAGAAGATCGCGGCCGCGACAGGGAAGACCGTGGACCAAGAGGAGGTGACCGTGGTGGACGAGGTGGTGGCGGAGGTAAATTATCTCTTTCATTTCGTTTTCCCCTCTCTTCATTTCTCAATTGAAGCAGGTGATTTCTTCCTGCCGCTCTTTCCCTAGTCCAAGTTTTCCTAGTCTTTCATTCAATGATTGATTTTCAGCCTTATTTTTTGTCTGTAATCATGTCTTATTTGGACATACTTGAATTGAAAGAAACTATCTTCTTTGAGGTACAGACGACCCTGTTATGCATGTACTTTGAAGGATCTCAGGGTTCAGGTCATTAAAGAATCAGTTTCTTTTGATTGCTATACAGTACTGTACATCCATTTTATCCAGGAGTGCTTAATTAGTACTATTTGGACGGAGTTAAACAGAAAGGAACCAAGCCACATCGGGATCGAACCGAGAAAAAGGGCTTTAAAGTTTGGCTCCTGCATAAGACTCAATGTAAAAGATAAACTTTGAGTTCAATTTCTGCAAAATTTGCTCCAACAAAAACTTTGAATTTTTGGCGATAGATAGTAGAGCAGTGGTTGAGTTCAAAACCACTCATAACTCAATTTTTTCCAAAATGTGGGTTGGTTCCTTTCTGCTTAACTCAGTCCATTTATGTGAGAGCACCCAAAAACCCCTCAAAGCGGTACCCTACACTATGTGAGAAGTCTTTGATAAATGTCGTAATCGCTCTCAGAAAGGAAGCGTCCAAATAACTAGTTTATCTTACCTATCAAATCAATCAAAGATCGTGGACAGTATGTTGGCAGGGAAAATAGCAAGTCAGGCCAAGGCATGCAAGTTTTTAAATTTATTAAGTAATTTTACCAATCTGCTGATAAAAGAATACACTTGTTGCTTACCTTCCCTGGTTGATTTAATGTTTTAACTCCAATATTTGCTGTGTGCTTTAACATTCAACAATTCTTTGATGTTTTCCAGGTGGTTTTGGCGGACGAGAAGGCGACTGGAAATGCCCGAACGTAGATTGCTCAAATACTAACTTTGCCTGGAGACAACAGTGTAATCGATGCAACACCGATAAACCAGCTGGTGCAGGTGGAGCGCCCGGTGGAGGCGGTTACGGAGGTGGTGGTAAGCATCTAAACATTAGAATCATCACATTCATATCCCAGGATCTTTGCTATTAATTGGACTTCAAATCTCAATTATCTTTTTGTTATTATTCTGCCCCTCCTCTCCACTGATGTCTCTTTTTTATGGAAAGTGTGTCAATGATGCTCATTTCTAAGAGTATTTGCTATCTTGAGATTGGCTGATGATAATACTGTTTCTGAGCCACACTTGTCGCAAGACATTCATCTGATCCTAAAATTTCCCGAAAATAATTTAGATCACCAAATCTGAAAAAAATTATTATTGATTAGAGATCCTATGTCTTCAAAGTAAAGCTTATTTTATCAATTTTACTGAAGTGAAATGCTCAATGATGCCAACTTAGTATTTGCTACTCTTGATCGTGGCTGATGAAATTATTTATCTGAGGCATTTGTTCTTATACCCTTTATTAAGGATGTTTTTTTTTTTTTGAAGAGTTTCAATATCGAACCCTTTTCCTCTTCCATGATATCCTTTTTCACACAAATTGATCCGAAATAATTCTTGTGGTTAACGGAATTGGGAACAATGAGAAACAATAGTATGATTTTAGAATTTGCGCCATGATGTATTTTTTTGTTAAAGAGTATTTGCTATCTTGACATACTTGATGAAAACTATAATCTGAGCTGCAATTATTTAGTAAATTATATTATTGAGTCAACCTCTTCTAAATTGATTGCCGCATAAGACAAATTTTTTGCAAAGTCAAATTTTTGTGTGGTTCTGCCAAATTCCGATAAGGCCAATATTATCAATTTAGGTCTTAACTTGAGTTGCTAGTAAAACAGCATCTGCTCAACTGGGAACAACATGTCCTGCTTCGGGGTTTTTTTCTTGTAGGTCCCAATTATCACAAGCTTAGGAGAGCACTCACAAATTTTGTCTGATATATTGAAAAACCCTTTGGAATGTTATCTAATGAATTTCAATGATGTTGTTTTAGTATTTGCTACTCTTGACAGTGGCTGATGAAATTATTTAACTGAGATTTTCCTCAACATTCCATTTTAGAAATCCATACATCCAAATTCAGGGCTTGACCTCAGGAATTTCAATGATGTCATTGTTTTAAGTATTTGTTACTCTTGAGAGTGACTGATGATATCAGCAAACTGAGATTTTCACAAATGAGGCATGTTTAAAACCCATCTAATTATAAAAACAGGAAATCAATGAAGACTTAAGATTTAAAAAAAGAAAGTATAAGGATCATAAATCTCAGAAAGTATGTTAAACAGCCCAAAATTTAAATTTTATACCATATTAAGAAGGATGTGTAAAATGTGCTGGTGTGGTTGATTTTGTTGTTGATCTAGTGTTGCCTACTGTCAGTAAATTTTAGTTTTTCTAGTATTTTCTTTGATCCCTTGCTCTCTTTCTCACCTGAGTTTACATTTCCATTCCATCTTTTTTTTTGTCAACTGAGATGCCGCAGCACCGAATATTAACCTCATATCTTTGTTTCAGATCGTAGGGATGGTGGTGGTCGAGGACGTGGTGGTTTCGGCGGCCGAGGTGGATTCGACCGTGGTGGTCGCGGTGGTTTTGACCGAGGTGGTCGAGGCGGCGGTGGACCAATGAGAGGACGAGGTGGCGACCGAGATAGGAGTCGACCTTACTAGATGATCAAAGCCTACTTTGAAACTTCGTGTAATTACAAGTTTTAAGTAATTTTATATTCATGTTTGTGCAAATAATGACCAAGGTCTTTTCAATACGGAATTTGACTGCATCATGGGATGTGTTATGCACATTTTCTCAGACAGAGGAGTACTTCATCTGTTTCTCAAACCTGTTTAATAAGAACGAGTGTCCAGTTCTGAATATGAGCCTGAATAGTCATACTTTACATTAATTTATCTCAATAATTTGTCTGTGTACCTCTTGCATTAGAAACAAAAACGAACACCAAACAGACCCATCATGTCTTTCTTTTTAGGATTGTCAGATCTTTGGTCAATCAGAGTGAATTTGTTAAATTACACCAATGAAAAGCATAATGCTTCGAAAAAATGAAATGAAGTATTTCTCTTTCTGGGGCGGTTAAATTCCTATAAGTTTTCCCAGAAACTCTAGAGTTGAGGGCTAAAATTTTCTTCCGTTTGTTGTCTTATCTTTATCAAGTAGGAGGTTTTTACAGCATTAACTTGTCCAATAACGTCAAATTCAAAATTATATACTGGTGTCACCTTTTACATCTTGCTTTCTTCCCTGTAATTTTACCAGTATTGTGAGAAATATGCTGTGTGGTTCTGGAGTTCTTTATTTAGGTGTAAAGGAATTTCATACGCCAGAACAGGGAGAAAATCAAAAGTCAATTTTGATGTCATTGCAGAACCTAAAAATACTTTGATCTCGCCAACCTCTGATGGTCTATTTTTATTTTCTTTGCTGCCCCTCTCCGGGCCATCTGTTTTTCTCAGGAACTTTACTAACACTAAAAAAGTAGAACATGGTAGATAGAAGTCTATTGTAAAATTTTACACTGAAGAAAATAATTCCAAGTGATTGACAAAATAATCGGAATATTTTTTTAGACTAGTGCAGGTTATACAATTTGCAGAGCTTGTCTCCGAGGTGTTCCAATTTTTAGAATGGTATTTTATTTTACCTAATCCTATCATACCTTTTTGTAATAGTTTCTTTTATGAATGAATCACTAGACTGGAATATCCGTTTATTCCATTTTCAGTTTAATTCCAATTCAACTTTGTAAATAGCCTCTTGTAATTTTAATTGTCTAGTGTTCTTTGTGTTAATGTCACAATGTTTTTGTAATTAAACTGAAGTACCAACCAAAGCAAAGTGGTTTTCCTCTCAAAATCGTCATCATCTATTGCCTTTAAATCTTCTTACCCGCATATAAAGTCTCCTTACCTTTTAATGGCGCCCTTTTCAGAGCAATCTTTTGATCTTGCCCTTATGGCACGTATGCAAGTTTTTCGGCTCATTTTGAATTTTTTACCAAAAATGTTCTTAAATATGTCTAATTTTCAAACAAAAACTTGAATAATCGACAGCTTAATTTGCTTGAAACATATTTGATTGGAGAGGAGGATTAAAAAGAAAAGTTGAGATGCTACAAAAAATGCTGAACATCTCAATGTAGTGAGGATAAATGGATTGCATTTTGCAAAAAGGAACCAGAAGCATTGCAATGATGCTAAGATTGTGCATTTTCATCCTTTGCAATAAAAGTACGTAAATGTTGAAAAAATATGAAATTTGCATGGTAATTTTTGTCTTAAATTTACAGTTTTGAGCGAGTTAGATAGAAACTATCAATGGATAATCAGGTTTTTCTTCCAAGTCAAAAGAAGTTGCACAATCTTTGCTACACTGCAATGCTCCTGGTTTCTTTTTGCAAAATGCAATCCAAATTCACTGCCAAGGTCAGATTAGATTAAAGTTACACAGTCAAAGAAAATATAGCTGAATAAATTTGGCAAAACCTTATTGAACTTATCTTACGCTTTTGCCCCTGAGAGAGTAAAAATCACTTCATCACCTATGATTCAAATTATTTCAGTCTGATCCAGTAATCAACGCAGATGACTAATCTNTGGGTCAACGTGGACCGTATGCAGGATTCGCAGCCCAGCGGACCGCGGCGCGCCCGACCAGGCGACCACTGAGCGATGAGAGGGAATAAGGAGGGAATAAACTGGCGTTCTTCATTCGCCTCTCAAGATGGGATATGAATACGAGTGTCATTGGCATCGCCTCTCTGAGGGCAATCGAATTAGACGGCTAATCGATCGCGTTCTGGGATGGGTATCGCTTTCGCCGCGATATGCCTCAGGTATCGGGAACTAAGAGCGGGCGCCGGACAAAAAGATTTGGGTTTGCGAACGGAGAGGGCATTCGAAACAAAAGGCCTCTCAACTCGCGAGCGAGGAGGCGATGCATATGAAATCCTGGAAATCGGCGTTCGCTCTTGAGAACCCTCTCGACCCCTGTCCCTCTTAGGAGATTCATTAGGGAGAGGGTACCTAAAAAGTATCAAATTAAAAAAGAATTAAATGATTTTATTTACCACTCAAAATTTGTAAGTACAGTTTGACTTGATGAAAAGGGTGAAGACATAGTATTAAAATTTTAACAAAAAGTAAAATGCATATTATTTAAATGGAGAGAAACTACAGCATACCTTCACCCAGTAGGGAGTTCTGAGACTTAGGATTTAGTTCGTTTAGTAACCGCTAAATTGTATCAAAAAATAAAATGGTCAAAGAACTATCTGTAAGAAAAATTTTTAAAGAAAAAGAAAGAAAAAAAAAAAAAAACAAAATAAAATTAAAGAAATGAAAAATTATGAAATTCAACTAAAATATAGGATATAACTTATATAGTATTTAAAATAGGAGGACGAGGAAAATACAATGATTGAAATCAAGAGAAAAAGATGTTGAATACAGTAGTGCTTCGCAGCTAGTTTTCATTTTCTTTTTCATATCAGTCTTTCTTTTTCCTTGATTGCTCCTCCTGAAAACAAAGTAAAAGGTGATTTTTAAAAGAATATAGAGCAAGCACTGAAGTAATATATTAATACTAAAACCCTGTTATCAGAGGGAATACACAAGAATGACTAGTTATGGATAGGGCATGCATAATAAATTATGACGGGAGCTGAATGAGCTCGAAAAAGATTTTGTGGTAAATTTCATTGGAAGGCCAATGAAAATAGAGAGGAGGCAAAGAGACATGGGAGGTGATAGGAATAATTGAAAGTATGCATTACTTACATAATTTGTAATTAAACCCTGACCAAAAAATTAGTCAGAAGAACTGAGTACAGGATATGCGATTAGAGAGGCTGCAGGAATGGTATGTAGTATGATCAAAATAAGAATGACCTCAGCGGATTTGCAATGAAAAAGACTTTGTGGACATACAAGGTACCGCAAATTCTTTGTAGTAGAAATTTGTGGAAGTCTCAGCATCCAAATATCCTAATTTCAGTAAGGGGTAAATAGTACGATTTAAGCCAAAAGATTAGAGCCCCCCCCCCCTTCTTCCTTTTTTGTTGATAAGTTCCTTCCATCTGAGCTGGGCTTGCACTGTACTGATTAATGACAGAAATAATCAGCTAATCAAAAAATATACATAATAAACATTTTCCAAGGATATGAAATGTCAACAGAGCTCCTGACGGATAAAAAAGCGAAAAATTTAGCTCTACAATACCCCCTAAAGAATTTCAAAAGAAAAGCTAGAATTTTTTCTTCTCTTTCTATTTTCCTTAAACTCACCAGTTATAGATGGCCAAAACGAAAGCTTCAGAGATTCTAATTAGATGGAAAAAAAACTGAAATCCTTGAGAATAATGTAAAAATTAAAAGTGATTATTTTTTCTTTGTATAATGCATATTGACAGAAAAATGATGCAATTTTTTTTTCAATCACATACCTTTAAGGATTTTCTCTCTCTAAAATTCTGTGAACAACCAAGAATATTAATAATGTAGGTTGCAAGGCGACTTACTTTTTGCGAAAGAATAACCATCAAGCGGCGGAAGATTCCAATGAAATCGATGAACAAGTCTATGGAGTGAGTGACAAAGTCTTTGTCTCCCGCTAGACGTTTCTCAATGATTAATTGAGTGTCATAAAGGACAAATCCACACATGATGAGGAGACCCAGATAAAGGTATGCCTGCAAAAGAAAAAAAAATCGGAATTATAAGATGACGTGCCGGTATCTGCAATGAGACAGTGATTTAGCCAAGATTTGAAAGAATGAATCATCTCTTATGTACTTGCAGCAGTATGTTTTGATAAAATAAAACTCAAAGTTAAAGCCAGCTGCTGAAAATTTATTTCGATGGTGAAATCGCAAAAATGCGTACCTCGGTTGCAGTGTTTGAAAACCTCCGCTCCTATTCTAATTTTTTTAAGGTGACCTAGCCGACAATATGGATCAAAATTTTCACAGACTATTCTTCATGAAGAGAATAAATAAAAAATCACAAAAATTTTCAAGTAACAACGTTTAGTTTTTTCCTGAGTAGATAATACAGTATGGCAGGAAGTCAGCAACGCCGCAAACGGATATACGGATTTCTGCAGTTTCACCATCAATTTGAGGAGCTACAGTAAAATCATATCAGACAAAAAATAGATATCATGAAGTGAAAACAAGAGGAAATCGCATTCCGAAGGGCGTATATAATTTGTTGCTGGAGTTTTCAAAGTGACACCAGTTGGCATGGAATGATCCTGATTGGATTTTGGGGAAGGCTTGGAAATTTCTACATCCTTGCATTTTTATGTAATATTGAATTAAAAAAAACTAAGCCCCTTCTGTCCTTCCTCCTCAGATATGAATTAAAACGAATCTGATACTTTCAAGCAAGGCAGAAAAAATATGAATTTTTTGATACCTATTGATTACGAAACATAATTGTCTTGCAGAACTCATCTTTGAGTAAAACCCAACGACAGCTTTTCTAATAACAGTTGATTTTTTTTTTTTTTTTTTTTTTTTTATTTGACAAAGTTTTTTTTTCTTTTTAAAATTTTACTGCAGATTGGACTCTGTGGAACTCTTTACACTTTTTGACAGAAGAGGAAAATTTTACCTGGAAGATGAGCTGAGAGCCTAAGAAGATGTTGGCAAGAGAAAGGACGATGAGACTAGCCAGCATGGTCATCAATGTTCCACCAAGGTAGAGCCACTGTCCACGCCGGGCAGTTAATGCAGCGGCTGAGAAGCATCCGAACAGAACAGCTGTTCCGATGAAAGAGGTCATAACAATCTGTGGGTTGATTTGAACGACGATCTCCAGCAGTGGCCCCATACCCATTCCTGTCATCAAAAAGAATACCTAGCTTACAAAGTTTTTCAAGGTAAAGCCTTGGTTAGCTGAAGAGTACCTTCAAAATTTTATTCTATCCATAAAAATTTATGAACTGAGAGAAACGACCAGAAGAATGCTTCTTATTGGACCAAATACTTTCTCAATTTACACGAATAAAGTACACTCCAACATAAATTAATTGAAAGTCTTGGCCTTTCTTTGTGAAATTGAAAGAACTGCAACTTTTTATACTGCATGGCAACAACACAATGGACTTATTGTTTTACTCACTGTGCAAATGACCGCAGTACATGACAACTTGCTTCCAAACCACTTTTTTTCTCTTTTTTTAAAACCTACCAATTTTCAAACAGCCCTAAGCAGCTAATCCTAAGCATAATCTCCCTGGCTCCTTTAAACCCATCAACAGATAAACTTTGCCTGAAACCATCACACTCAGGTCAACTGGCCAGGAATCAAACCTGGGACCTCCTGATCAGAAGGGCACCACTACAACCCTTCATACGACAGGAGACGGACTGTGGGTTGATGGTTCCAATATATGAAAACACAAAAATAAACTCTTGGGAGGCAAACGATACTAGCATTGATTGATACAGTAATCCTTTGAGTGTAACATAGCGAGATTAAATAAGAGAACTCAATGGGTTGTTTTACAATGTCAGTGTTGTTCTACTGCAAGTGGTTACAAACAACATGATTCTAATTTAAACCTACTTTGCTCAAAATCTCTGACTTAAAATTGTCAAAAAAGAATTCTAAAGCTATGATTCAAATTATGAACACACACTCAAACTTCACACAAGATAAGTTACCTGAAAAGAATGCTATGCCCAAAAGGAGACCAATACGCAAGTTTCTGTTTTTGTCATTGTCTGGAATACACAAGAGTGTAAGCAAGAGACCCGTTGTGGCAAGGACTGTGAGGAAACTGGCCGAGAGGATTTCAGTGAACATGTGAACATAGGCTCCAGCAGCAGCCACAATCAGTGACAGAGACAAGCATGCATAGACATTCTTCAGATGATCTCGCACTGGTTCATCCCTGAAAAAAACAATAGCCAGAAGGATGCTAAAATATGTAAAAGAGGAAATAAGAAAATGCTAAATATTGTCCATGATAAGAAAAGTTTAAAAATAGTGTGATCAACACTCATTATGGCTCAAAGGTGCTTATTCTAAGGTTCAGGCGTCAAATAACTATGCGACACTTTATATGCATCATTTTAAAGTAAGTGCAAGCTGTAAGGTTTTGAAGTTGGATGTGAACTGACCTTAGGGCAAGATGTAAAGCTTGCATCCTTTTTTTCACAGCAATGAAGCTTTATTTCTTAAACTGCCAACGAAAGCTAATATGCAAGTCAAGGCCAATTACCGTTTTCAAAAAGCCCAATCTAGATGTACATCCCATTCCGCTAGTGAATTATCTCCAAATAAGTACTTACATACTTCCAAAAAACTGTTTAAACACCATCAAAATAAAATTGCAACCTTGGACATTCCCACCCCTGGACCCATCAAAAGATGAAGAAATGCATCCTACACATACTTACAATAACTTTGAACTTAATTGACTAAGGTTGAAATCATAACTTTTGCTTTGCAAACTTAAACTTGAACGCTGAACAACTCGGATGGCAGGATGTTAATGGCGCTGTAGGAAACGCGATAAGGGGAATTTGGCTTGTTCGCCACTTTACAATATACATTCACCTCTTAATGTTAGGCATACATATATGATGAGTTTTTCCAACATGCACGTTTGCATGTAGTGGACTACATTAAGCAGGAAAGAAGCGAGTCACATCAGTCAATACCAAATTTGGTTGGATAACTCATTTTTTTACAGTTGAAGGGCAACGTAAATCTTCTTGAAAATTTTAGGAGATTTCCTGTACGGCAAAAAGCAAATTCCCTGAGATTTTTAGAAAAAACCTGAACAATCGTTCTTTCAAATAAAAACTAAATTGTTCCATGAAATTTGACAATGGCTGATGTTACTTGGTTTCTTTCTGCTTAATGCAGTCCAAGTAGAGTTTCTTGTAGGACTGAGTTGGAAACTAGATCAGATTCAAGGTAAAGCAGTGCCTGTGATTCCAGTCTAAGTACCCTGTACTCTATTTCAAGAAGAAATGACCAAGAGAATTTGGGTGGAAGGAAACTTTCTAACTACGCATAGTACAAGCAGATTAAGGTGGATTCAATGCTGATGTTTCCGATAGCCATGCTTTATCGCCTAAATATGGCATTTGGCCTTACTTCCATCTTCTATAAATAAACAACTGAAAGATTAGAGTAGATGCATAAAGAGAGGCATCATTTCCCAAACTGGATCCAGCAATAATGTACATATCGCATGACAAGCAGAAAAAACCACCCTGTGTTTGTTCAGTTACACCACAAAAGAACAACATGCATCGCTGCAATGAAGCTAGTGGAAACGTTAGATAGAGCTTGCTGAGACCAATAGAAATGCATAGTTTTGTATTGAACAAGCTACACTAATCCCATTATCAGCGATTTTACTTCTTATATTGCCGGACCAGCAATCAAATAGAGATAAAAGATAAGACATCATGACTTGTTATTGACAAAATTCAAGAATTTGATAATGAAGGTCACCATAAGACTCCATTGAGTACATGAAGCCTTATTGTCATATAGGCAACTAGGTAAAATACTGGTGACGTGGGGTGAAATATTGCAGAAAGAGAAGCAGAAATCGTGGATAACTGCAATAGAAGTTAATATTAAATGTTTGTTGTAAGTATGTAGCTACGGGAGAAAAACTTAATGGGTCAACATACAGCGTCCGGGTGAACGAGTTGAGGAAAGATTCCACCGTCGGAGGCATTTTGAACACCAACTAAACGATTATAACACAAACAAAAACGATTATCGAAACTAATATAATTCAAATGAAAAAAATATTCCCGCACGAGCAAATTATTACAGCACCAAAACCGCTTGAATTAATAGAAAATATTTCGCAAATTCAGGACTTTTTCTCACAACCACTGACTCAGACGTAATACAATGATTTATCAAAACATGACGTCATGAGGAAGAAACTAGAAGGTTTTCATTCTAAATCATACCGCTTGGGAGCGCTAAAAGCGTAGTCAGTGGAAACTGGCGGGAGCGGAGTTCAATCGTCGACATCGGCAGAAGTCGAATTCGAAAAAAGGGCAGTCGTCGACTCGAAGCGAACGGGTCGAATGGTTCCGCGAACTGCCGCGAATGTCATGAGCATTCGCCGGGGCGAGTTCGGACGAGTTTGTTATTGTTTCTCATTAAACTAACCCCTTTTGAGGACATTAGTAATTATAAGCGCACGGTAGAGCGCTAGACGGCAACAGAGTTCTTTATCCTCAAAATCTCGTATTTAATCAACTCATCGATCAGTATTCCAATGAAGCGGCAATTAGTTCGGGTTACAAATACTCATCCAGAACTCGGACGGCAGGTAGCGCGTTTTCGCTCAAGATCCGAGAACTTGTCCCGCGGCGGTTGGATTTCCCCTCCGAAACTCATTAGCAAAGCCGCTGCTTCGGGTTCGAAGTATTCGAACTTACAGAAAAAGACGCTGGTATTCAATCCCCTCATATGAACGGATACCAAATGGCCCGGCTTTTGAATCAGATCTCGGATCGGATTTAAAACCGTGGCCGCCGCTTATTAACTCAAGTCGACGCCTGTATGATACTTCCACCACGACATGCGCTCTTTCAGTGCGTGGACCTCCCCTCCCCGGCCCCGCCGTCTTGTTGCCCTGCACCCTTCCGCCGATTCTGCGTTGCACGGCACCCTTGCATAGCTTGCACCTATCTCTTTCGCTCTGGCTGACCAGGTATCACACCCGCGCCGCGCGGGGGAGCAGCAATTTTTGGGGGGAGCAGTGAATATAATAAATACTTGGCAAAACTTCCAAACCACATGTATCGGTTTGCGACGCCGCAGACTTTCCGTCATACTTTATTATTTATTTGGAAAACTACTTGGCAATACTTAAAAACTGTCGTGATTTCTCTTCCCTGTGAGAGGAAATTTGTGTGAAAATTTGAAAAAATTGTCGACTTCTTCTCATTTGAAAAAATCAAATAGGAGCGGCGATTTTTAAACTCTGAAAACGAGATGCGTGGTTTGGGAGTTTCACCATCGATACGTTATTCTCTAAATAGAGAACTACCCAACATCGATCGATTCTTAAATATTTCAGTGATCTTTCTTCTTTGTGCGAGGCGAATTCTTAGACTGATTCAAGGAATAATGTTGTCATTCTTCTGAATAATTATTCTCCTTCAAAAAATGAAACAGGAGCGAAGATTTTTGAAACCGCCAATGGGATGGATACGTGATTTGGAAGTTTCACCGCCTATATTAGCCATGTTTCTTGGCGCTTCCAACAGTTCCTTAATCCTCGGCTCATTAGAGCCTT